ATTTAGTACTTGTTCCTACGTCTTAAGTTAATAAGTAAGTACCTAAACGTAACGTACCCTACTAGTACCTACTTTTACTTAGTACTTTTATTGTACTAAATTAAAGTTAGTATATATATATATATATATATATATATATATAATTTTTTTTTTTTTTTTCATAATACTTTCAGGTCCCACAAAGTAAGCATGTCGTTGTGTACAAAATCCATTTCATTAGATGATGCGTTTAAGTTACTCCATTGGAATATGAGATTGAGAAGAAGATATTTATGACTTTGTAAATCCTAAGTCTCTCTTGTTTGGGGTTTTTTTTAAGGGAGGAACGTGGGTGGCCTGCACTTTTGACATTCTCTCCAGAGGAAGGGCAGTCTTAAAAGAAATATGGATAAATCACAAGAAATGGAGTGGTTTAATGCACAAAATCTTGTTATTAGCCATGACCTTGTGGCAGCTGCCAAGCAACAGCTTCAGTTTCTTGCAGCTGTTGATAGGAACAGAAATCTCTATGATGGTCCTGTCCTTAAAAGGGCAATCTACAGGTATAATTACAATGTCACCACTGACGCAATTTATATAGCAGCAATCAATTAACTGTTGTGGTTTTGGATTCCTTGAATATTGGATTTATGTGGCTCTGAAATTGTCAGGTACTTGAACTTTTGGCTTCCCTTGCTGGCCAAACACAATGAATCTCAACTGGTTGAAGGTCCTCTTGTGGTGCCTCTTGACTGTGAATGGATTTGGCACTGTCACAGACTTAATCCGGTGAGATTTTGTTTAGAAACATGCTTCCCTAAAAGTATTTCTCCTGAGCTGCCCCATTTCACTTCTAAGCTGTTTTGGTTTAGAAACGTGCTTTTATCTCCCAAAAGTATTCATCCTAAGCTGCCCCATTTCACCTCTGAGGTTGATTTGGTTCAGAAAATGTTCTGTGCGTGTGTTTGTTAATTTGTTTTTTCCTTTTTTGGGGAAAAAATATGTATGGACTGGAAAACAAAAGTGAGTTACCCCATGGACCATATTTTCTCCACTTTTACAACTAGCTCCTACTTTTATGTGATTATTTTTTATTCCAGATTTGCCCCTGTCTTGATGTTGGCAACATCAAACCACTTTTTTTAATTTTTTTCAATTTATTTTTGTGACCTCTAGGTTGTATGATACCCTATAAATCTAACCACACCATGTATTAAGCCTGCCCAAGTATGGGGGCAATTTGATATTGTTGAGATCAAACTGCTCTGAAATTTTTTGAAGTATTGGGTAGTTCAATGTTAGTGACATCAAAATGCCTCCTACTTAAGAAATTTTTTTAGCAAAGGTTGTGGATCGATGTCACCATTGTTGAACTGCCCCATACTTAAAAAAAAATCCAAGTATGGAGTGGTTCGATATCACCAACATTGAACTGCCCCATACTTGGACTAGTTTTATATGTAGTGCAGTTTAATGATGCTAACATGAAACTACCCCAAATGTGGTGTGATTCAATTAGCTGGGTATGATACCAACCTAGAGGTGGCAACAAAAAAAAAGTAATAAAATAAAATAAAATAAAATAAAAAGCTGTTTCCATGTTACCAACATTGAACTGGGTGCAAAATTGGAACAAACACTACCAAAAAGTAGGACCTGGGTGTAAAATTCATGATAGTCCATGCAGTAACTTGCATTGTTTTCTGGTCCATCTGTGATTTTTCCTTTATTTTTTTGATAATTAAGAAACATGCTTCTCTCACTAAAAGTGTTATTCTAAGCTGCACTTTTCCACTTTTGAGGCTTATTACAGCTGCAATACAAATTGGACTGTGAGAAATTTTATGGTGGGATTCTCGATAACAAGACTGTAGATTCAGTAGTTAAAGGCTCCTCCGAGCGGGAGACAATCGAACTTTGGACGAGGCTCTATCCAGAAGAGCCTTATGAGATTGATCTTCAAAATCTCTCAGAAATAAGTGATGGAAAATTTTCTGAAACGGCAGGGAATATCAAATATGATTTGGTGGCTGCTGTCAAAAGGCAGAGCTCTTTCTTCTATCAGGCAAGTTACACTTGCTTTTCTCTTGAAATGGACTCCTTGCTTGGAACTTATTGACAAATAGTCAAGCTTTATGCATTTAAACCGTATACTAGATTTGCTACCTGTGGACATGTATGAAGAAGTGACTTTGATTTTGGCTTATCTCCTCTTCATATTTATGCATTCTGATCTATTTCGATGAATTTGTATTCTGATCCATTTTGATGTAGATTTGTGTTTTCGTATGAATACATATTGATGTTACTAAGTTCATCAACCTACCACTTTGTGTTATTTTTACTCATGAAGAGGGAGGCAGGAACACCTTTACTTCCAATGAGGATTTTAGATAGTGTTCTGCTTTACCTCATATTCACTCAAACCCATTATTACTCATATTGTTAGCCTAGTTTACAGACATCTTTATAGTGACTTTATGGGATCATCATTTTTCTATTTCCTCCAATTTGTCATGTTCTAGTGGCCTCTCATTTGGGATTGCCAAAAGATATTATGCTCCCCGAGGGAGTATACTATCCATTTAACCAATCGATGATTAACTTTAGAATCTCAAATTTTGGGGATGCAACCTCTTCAACTGATAGACTAATCTCCATAGAAATTTTTTCCAAATTGCACCATCTATGGCCTTGAAAAAAATAATGTCTCAAGATTGAAGGGAGGCCATCCAATTTTTGGAGGGTGGGATCTAAGCATTGGAAAATGCAAAATTCAATTTTCTTTTTTCTTTTGAAAATTGTCGTCCAGTGATTCTTAGGTGGCTCCCAAAATTACAGAATAAAAAGTTTTCTCCCAAGTGGGTTTTCTAACTAACAGAGTAGATGTACGCCATGCTCCGGCAGGAGCAAAGCATACAGGCTCTTTGGGATTTTTATCTGTACTAGCTCGATTTTTCCACCATGTTTTGTGCTCTTTCATAATACAATTATTTTCATGATCAGTCTGACCCCAAGGATGTTTTGGTAGTGTATCAAGAGGATTGTACCATATATTGAAGACTATACAATCCTTCAACTTTCACTTTGATTATTCATTGTTTGTTGTTATGATGCAATCCATTAATTTATTGCTGAGCTAAAGTATGAGGAAATACAAAAGCGAGATTTTGAGCTCTTTAGTTGCATGTTTTAGCTTCAAGAACCATCTATGTATACCATTTGTCTGGAGTCTAGAGAACCCTTCCAGTTTCTTTACTAAACACAACTATGCACAAAACCAAGTTGATGCACACTTTACTCATGGTTATGTGAAAAACCATGTATTTTGCCATCGGTTCCTATCTCTTGACGAATTAAAAGAATAGGTGATTTTTTTATTACCATGGAGACTTAAATGCTAAGAATCATCACAAAGGCTTGAAACTAGCCCACCTACGAGATGCCTAGTCCACCTACGAGATGCCCTTTGGATCTGACTGACTGTTGATTCATAAGGCAAAGATACCATCCATTTCTAATGATGGATAGTGGGCATTAATCTCATGGGATCCCTCTGGGATGTTCGCCTGAGCACAATGAAACTATCATGCATCATGGGGAAGGGATATTGTTGGCTTTTATGCCCCTCTAGAGTGCTTCATAATTACCGTACTTGATTGGTTCCTCATACTTCATTTTATTTCTCCTTTTTTGCTTCTCTTCTTCAAAATATTCTTATGATCAAGGTGCATATGGTTTAAAAGGAATACCATATGCTGTAAGTGTCCCAGGTTTGTATAGATTCCCACAGTTTATGATTAAATTTTTTACGAGGATGCTTTTCCTAAAAATGTCACCTAGAATACTTGAAAGAGAAGAACAAGTTGTGGTAGAGGTATAGATGGATGGAGAGGAAGCCAAAGAAGAGTGACGTGACCTGTAATTCATCCATGAGTGAGGGGCTACACTCAAATATATATATTTATTTTTGTTCTTACCCTACTTAAGGGTTGGATAGGGGTGGGGTAAAAATAAATCCAGAATTTACATATTTGTTCTTTAAATGGGCATGAACTACAAATACCAGAATAATTTACAATAGTATATAAGTTTACCAATTATGACTAAATCTCCCGTTCAAGTTGTAAATGGCGTTTGAACATGTACAACTTGTTCTTCAAATAATGATTGCATTCCTTTGATAACCCTTTCGTAAATATGTTTGTTGTTTGATCTTCGCTTCAATTTCCTTGGCTTCAATCCTTTCCCATACAAAATGATAATCAATCTGATTATTTTTAGAATTATCATGAAATACTAGATTTGCTGCCAAGCTTAAGGCACTCTCGTTATTACAAAACACTTTGCATTTTTTAATTTTCATGCCCAATGTAGTTATCAGCCTCCAAATCCATAACATCTCCGATATAGTACTTCCTAGCGCCCGATAGTCAGCTTCAACAGTTGATTGGATACTATCTTGTGTTTCTTCTCGGTGATATCAAGTTTTTCCTAAGATAAGCACAAAATCTGGAGACTGACCTTCTTGAATTTGGGCCACCAACCCAATCAGCGTCTGAATATCCCATTGTTGATTCGACTTGCGGATGGTCCACATCATTTTGCTATGTGCAACTGTTCCTTTAATATATCTCATTATTCTATTTAAGGTTTCCATGCAAGATGAAGTGGGCATATGCATAAAATACCTAATTCACTGCATATGGTATATCTCATGTTAGTGTGAGATATTGTAAGGCCCTTGCAATACTCTTGTACTTCTTTGGTTCTCTTAACAGTTCCCCTTCATCCCTGCTCTGTCTTTTGTTCATGGCAACAGTTACAGCTTAATTTCACTGGCATCTCAATCTACCTCCATCCCAAGATCTTTTGTATTTCTAAATCTTTTATTTGGAATTTATCATTAAGAAATCTCTTCACATCAACAATCAACAACTATGAAGTACCTGTAATTATGATATTATCAACATATAGGAGCACAATTATAATAGCTACATCACTGTTGTGGATGAACAGGGAGTGGGCACTGCTGCTCTCTTAAATCCTCTATCCTTTAATACACTACGAAAACTTTGAAACCACATTCTTGATGCTTGCTTCAATCTGTACATTGAGTGATTCAATTTGCATAAATACTCTCTTGAATCTACTTCACTAAATCCTAGTGGTTCATCCACGTAAACCTCCTCTCTTAACTCTCCATGAAGAAATGTATTCTTTATATCCAACTGGTGGAGTGGCCTATCACAGGCCAAGGCTAATGATAAAATAATGCGTACTGTCACAAACTTAGGACTGAAGGTTTCTTCATATTCCAGTTTGTGTTGATTAAATCCTTTAGCTACCACCCTTGCCCCTTGCCTTGAATCTCTATATACTTCCATTTTATTTATATTTCTCCTTATATGCCAATTTGCAACCTACCACATTTTTGTGTTCCAGTCTTATAATAATGTCCCATGTATTATTGACATGTATGGCCTTGATTTCTTCTTGCATAGCTTCAATCAGGTTCTTATCCTTAATTGCTTCTGAGTATGTTGATCTTAAGAATCTCACTTAAGAATACTTGATTTTCATGCAAGAAATCTCCATGGCTTACCTATCTTTCAATAGGATGTTTAATGAGCAGACCTCCTCAAGGCCTCAACTTGTGCATCACTTGAAGTGTTTACATGGTCTGATTCAGATGCTCTATGAGCTGGTTTGTGTGTTCATTTGCTGTTCTTTCTGATGTGTTAGCTTGCTGCCCCATCTGAGGTCTTCCTTTGACACAATGGCTTTAAATTGACCATTTTGTGATGAGCACCTACTTTGGCCTGTTTGCTAGTCATCTTCGAAAACTGACAAAGTTTTCTCCTTGATTACATGGAACAATGTCTTCATCCTTTCCACCTTTCTCAACATTGTGTTCAACAAATTTCTCTATCTGATGTCAACTTATGAAGGATGGTTCCTTGTCATTCTTGTGTTTGCCTCTTTCCTTTGAACACATACTTTATCTGCAAATATCATGCTTTGTAGGAACAAACATTTTCAACTCATCAAATGGTATATGTCTAGAAATAAAGTAACTTTTATTCAAGGATGGTACATCTATAGCCTTTATGATCATCTGAGTATCCCACAAAAATACATGTTTCTGCCTTAGGATCAAGTTTATTTCTAGGACTACCATCAATATAGACATAACACCAAGATAAAAAACTCCTCAAGATAGAACGGTCAGGAGTTCTTCCAAGTACTGTATAGTATGGAGATTTTCCATCCAATACATTAGTGGGAAGTCTATTAGTCAAGAAGATAGCTGTATGAAAAGCTTCGGTCTCCACTAGAAAACATAAGAGATAATCTGTATTTATCTATGTTTTCTGTTTGCCTCTCCATTTTGTTCTGGAGTATAAGGACAAGAAATTTGTTGTTCCATCTTATTGTCCCTCAAGTAATTTTTAAACATTTGAGATGGGTACTCTCCCCTAAAGTACACAATTTTCCTAGGGAAGTGCTTTTCAACAATCAACTTGAAATGTCTCAAAGATGTGAGGTTTTTTATTAAGAAAAAATCCATGTAAATCTAGAGAAGTCATTAATGAATATCACATAATAGAGGGAATTGGAAGGAGATGCGGTTGGCATTGGACCCCATACATCAAAATGCACTAACTCAAATGGAGAAGAAGCATTTTTATTATTAGAAATAAAGGGAAACTTGACAGGTTTTCTTAATCAATAGCCATGAGAAATAAAATTACTAGGTAGATCAATATTGGAGGAAACATGTCTTTTTTCACAACTTATTCAAAGACTCCATACTACAATGACCCAATCTATGGTGCCGCACATTGGCATCCCTATTAACATAGTAAGATACGACCAAGCTTTGGAACTTAATTCCATTCATCATCAGCTGTGTACAACTCTCTGCATTGTGACTCGCCAGCAAACATGGTCCCTAATAGTGGGCGCTTCAATTAAACACAATCCGGAGTAAATACAAAAAGGCATGAATTTCTCTAGTCAATTGTGGCATAAAAGTAAGATTACATTTAAAATTAAGGACAAGTAAAATATTTTTGAGATGTATAGGACCTTAAGAAGATTGAATGGTAACATTCCTAACATGTGTGATGTGGTGAGAGGACCCTTCTCTAGTTATAATAGACCCGCTACCTGAGTAAGGGATAAGGGAAGAGAACAAATCTGAAATTCTTGTCAAATAGTTGATTACTCCACTATCAACAATCCATGGAGCTTTAGATGGAGATGTAATGGCAAGGATCTTCGAAGATGTATTCACTCTACCTTTCTCAACATTGTCTTCAACAAATTTCTCTATCTGATGTCAACTTATGAAGGATGGTTCCTTGTCATTATTGTGTTTGCCTCTTTCCTTTGAACACATACTTTATCTGTAAATATCATGCTTTGTAGGAACAAACATTTTCAACTCATCAAATGATATTTGTCTAGAAATAAAAGAACTTTTATTCAAGGATGGTAACATCTATAGCCTTTATGATCATCTGAGTATCCCACAAATATACATGTTTCTGCCTTAGGATCAAGTTTATTTCTAAAACTACCATCAATATAGACGTAACACCAAGATAAAAAACTCCTCAAGATAGAACGGTCAGGAGTTCTTCCAAGTACTGTATAGTATAGAGATTTTCCATCCAATATATCAGTGGGAAGTCTATTAGTCAAGATGATGGCTATATGAAAAGCTTCGGTCTCCACTAGAAAACATAAGAGATAATCTAACTTTATTTATTTGTATTTGTCTATGTTTCCTGTTTGCATCTCCATTTTGTTCTGGAGCATAAGGACAAGAAATTTGTTGTTCCATCTTATTGTCCCTCAAGTAATTTTTAAACATTTCAGATGGGTACTCTCCCCTAAAGTACACAATTTTCCTAGAGAAGTGTTTTTCAACAATCAACTTGAAATGTCTAAATGTCTCAAAGATGTGAGGTTTTTTATTAAGAAAAAATCCATGTAAATCTAGAAACGTCATTAATGAATATCACATAATGGAGGGAATTGGAAGGAGATGCAGTTGGCATTGGTCCCCATACATCAAAATGCACTAACTCAAATGGAGAAGAAGCATTTTTATTATTAGAAATAAAGGGAAACTTGACATGTTTTCTTAATCAACAGCCATGAGAAAGAAAATCACTAGGTAGATCAATATTGGAGGAAACATGTCCTTTTTCACAACTTATTCAGAGACTCCATACCACAATGACCCAATCTATGGTGCTGCACATTGGCATCCCTATTAACATAGCAATATACGACCAGGCTTTGAAACTTAATTCCATTCATCATCAGCTGTGTACAACTCTCTGCATTGTGAACTCACCAGCAAAACTGGTCCCTAATAGTGGGTCCTTCAATTAAACACAATCCAGAGTAAATACAAAAAGGCATGAATTTCTCTAGTCAATTGTGAAATTAAATACATTTGAAATTAAGGACAAGTAAAATATTTTTGAGACGTATAGGACCTTTAGAAGATTGAATGGTAACATTCCTAACATGTGTGATGAATGGACCCACTACCTGAATAAGGGATAAGGAAAGAGAACAAACCTGAAATTCCTGTCAAAAGGTTGATTGCTCCACTATCAACAATCCATGGAGCTTTAGATGGAGATGTAATGGCAAGGATCTCCGAAGATGTATTCACTGCAGCCAGCTGTCTTCCAACATTATGAACTCCACTTTCCTTACAACCTTATCAAGAGATATACTTAGAACAACATGTCGGTTGCTTCCATATTGTGGTTGTGGTATCCCATCATATTATTAGTATAACAACTAATAGCTGAGTGGTTACGTCTTCCACAAATCTCACATATTATACTGTTATTCTCATGACTAGAACTCCCATTGTTATTATTGTTAGATGGAAGTAGGATGCTGAACGGTATTTCCATAAAACCCACTTTTACCACGTCCACCACAGCCTCTATCATTTCTTCCTCTATCTCTACACCATGAAACCATTTCCAGGATATGAATAATTGTTGTGGATAAACAATGCATTATAAGACTTCACACTTGATGGTTGTGCCGTCCTTTTATTAGGGCATATAGCTTGAAGCTAAAGAAGTAGAGCATGTAATGCTGCAAAAGAAGGATATAGTGGTCTAAAAGTAGCACTAGTAACAAAAGTCTCATATTGATATCCAGGACAACAATGTACACTTTGCCTGTCTCATTAACGAGGTGTTGAATCATAGCAAGCTGATCACATATTCCTTTGATTTTGACCAGGTAATCAGATATGGATTTATCTTCATTTTTGCAACTCAAGAGTTTGTCTCAAGTGAATTACACTTGCTTAAGACAATTGGTATATGAGTTTTGTAATTCCTTCCACGATTCTTCATTAGTGTTTATATGAACCACTTGTGCCAATATATTGTCTGACAACATAGAATTGATCCACCAAATTAATCATTAATCCTTGACAAACAATTGATCCTATTTAGGATTATGGGTTACAACTTTTTCTCTTTCCATCTTTACTCACTTCGTCTTTGGTGATGAACTGTAGTGGTGCCTTGCATGATCTATTAATGTGACCCACCCATCAATCATAGGCCTCAGATACAAGGATTTGTATCTCCTTTCCATACAATGCGAAAGGAAGAAGAAAGTTTGCTGGTAAATTCTAGGGAACGGAATATTGGGGATACCAGAAGATTCCATGGGATCAAATGAGTAGAAGATAATGGAAATAATTTTTCTTTCTTTTTTTCTTTTTTGAAAGAAAAGGAGTTTACTGTTCAAACATGAAGAATAATTGAGGGTTACTGTTCACATGAATAGTATCTAGGGTTTACTGTTCACATAAAAGGAATATAAGAAATTTAGGATAAAGAAGAGATTTAGAGAGTAAGAGATTTATGGTTAAGGTCTATAGAGAGTAAGAGATTTGTGGTTAAGGTCTATAAATCCAAGTTAAGGGGACAGATATAGGGTTTCATGTCAATGTTGACAATAACGCAATCATTCTAAATAATGACCAAAAAAGAGGGCAAAGAAAAGAGAGATTTCGATATCTTTGATCAAATGTCTGACATTAATGCTTGAACCTGCTCTGATACCATGTTAAAATATCACCTTGAATACTTTAGAAAAAAGAACAAGTTGTGCTACAAGTTGAGCTGTATGGAGAGGAAGTCAATGAAGAGTGATGTGACCTCTAATTCGTTCATGAGGGGCTCCACTCGAAGATATAAACAGTTATATTGTTTTTAACCCTAATTAATTAAGGTTACAAATAAAACTAGAAATTATATATTTGTCCTTTACAATTAACATGAACTATAAATAGAAGAATAAGTTACAGTAGTATATAAAATTTCTTGACCAACTATTATTGACACTTTTGGCAGGTCTCAAGACCCACTGTGGAAGATGATCGATTTCTTGAAGGAGCTGCAGCAAGATACAAAGGATTTCTTTATCTCATAAAGAGAAACTTCGAAAACAATTTGAGACGTTTTTGTGTCCCAACATATGACATTGACCTGATGTGGCATTCACACCAGCTCCAACCAATTTCTTACACTAAAGACATGGTAAAAGTTCTGGGTAAAATATTGGAGCATGATGATATGGATTCAAATAGAGGCAAAGGGAAGAAGCTTGACACTGGTTTTACTGAAACTACCAAACAGTGGGAGATGACATTTGGGAGGAGATATTGGAGGGCTGGGGCGATGCATAGAGGCAATGCCCCATCCCCAATAACACTGACACCATGTCCATCAGTTTTCATGAACAAGAATAGCATTTTGTGTAGCCAGAGTCATCATTACATTCATCTTCCTCAGCCAAAGGCTGTAGAGGTACTCTCTCTCTCTCTCTCTCTCTCTCTCTCTATATATATATATATATATATATATATATATATATATATATATATATATATATATATATATATATATATATAGATATACACATAGAAACACATATAGATAAAAATAAATAGAGTTTCACCCCGTTACGTGATGACTTTGCCTTAAAAACTGCCA